GCGGGTGACCGCCCTCCCCCTCCCCCCCCCCCGCAGCTCCAAGCCCCACAGGGTGGTGTGGGGACCTCTCCTAGCCACCGGGCAATGGGGTCCCTGCAGCTCCCAGCCGCTGTGGAGGGGGCCAGGGGAGAGCCAGGGTGCTAGACCCTCCTCCTTCCCCATTTTGTCAGGGATGTTTTTAGTAAAAGTCAGGGACAGGTCCGGGCTTTGGTGACTTTCTGTTTATTGCCTGTGACTTGTCCCTGACTTTTACTACAAATATCCATGACTATGACATGGCTATTAGCAAAGATGGTCAGAGAAGCAACCCCATGCTGAGGATGTCCCTAACCTTCTGACTGCCTTATGCTGGGACAGGATGATGGGATGGATCGCTCAAAATTGCCCTGTTCTTTTCATTCCCTCTGACGCATCTGACACTGGCCACTGTCGAAAGATACTGGGTTAGATGGACCATTGGTCTGACCCAATATGGCCGTTCTTGTATTCTTATGAAAGCCTGACAAATGGTCAGTATGACCTAATGCAGAAAGGTTGGATGCAAGGTCCCAGGGCAGAAGGATGGGTTTCTTGGCTTTGTGTTTTGGGAGCAGTTGAAGGTATTTTACTCACTGACCCAGCTGCAATGTCCTGCATGGCAGATGAAATGTTAGGTTTCCTTTTATTGTTTCACTTGGGGAGGGATAGCTCAGTGGTTTGAGCATTGGCCTGCTAAACCCAGGGTTGTGAGTTCAATCCTTGAAGGGGCCACTTAGGGATCTGGGGCAAAAATCAGTACTTGGTCCTGCTAGTGAAAGCAGGGGGTTTGACTCGATGACTTTTCAGGGTCCCTTCCAGCTCTATGAGATAGGTATATCTCCATATATTATATTATTACTTAAGAGCACTACCATGACCAAAAGAGACCAGCCCCCTTAGAGATGAGGGATTATTTCACCTCCATAGAGTTTGGTCACAGTCTGCAAGTTGTGCCGAATTATTTACGAGACCATTAGTTTTACGACATGGTGGTAATTTCTCCGAATTGACTGAAACCACCAGACACCTTTCCCGGTAGCACCACAGAGCGCAAGTGGCAAGCCTTGAAATGCATTATTTGCTAAGATAGGCAGTCCCATCGGAGAGATTCATTTCTAGTGGTGGCCTCTGCCATCTACTAGTAGTTCAGCTATTTGTTGTCACAATAAAAGCATCTGTTTGATTTACCAGTTTATATAACATCATAAGTCCTTAAATAAACCTCTGTCAAGCTGGCTCTGGGAACTCAGGAATTGTTCTTGTGCCAGCTCAGTCAAGAGCAAATGTCCAGGTGTCAGATGCAGCCGCGCTGCTCTGGAAAATGGAATCTCTGATCAGGGCGTGGTGGCGGCTTCTGATTATTTTGTTTCTGCCTGATTTTTAACCCGTTGCTGGCTGTAATCGTAGCTCTTTGGCCATGAAATGTAAGATCGGAAATATTCAGGGTGGCTTTTTTAATATGAATTTTGACAGTTAATATTGATTATTTTCAATTGCTGTAACTTTTTTTTTTTTTAAACTAACTTGAGCTGGGATTTTTTTAACAACTTGCTCAAAGGAGAGTAATGGTGTTATGGGCCCAAGTCTCATTGAAATGGGAGTTCAGGATCTCACTTCATTATTTTCTTCTGAAAAATCCCATTCTTAAATTTTTATTCCAGCAGGACATTCTCTTTACCCTCCCTCCTCCGCAAAAACCCCAAACAGAAAATCCCACCTGTGGCCTGGGCATTTATAACCACACACCCACAATGTAGGCGCATAACCTTTGCACCCACTTACCCTGGATTGAAAAGGCAGTCGGAACAATGACAAGGCTGTTGCTTTGATCAGATTGAAGGAACCCTTTGGTGTCTCATAGCAGCTTTAATAGGTTTCCCAGGCTCCTCATCTGTAAGGCAGTGTTCCTGGGAGAAGCTAGCACTCTTTGCTCAAGCAGGAGCTGAAGAGGAAAGTTCCCAAAGGTGAGGAGATGACAGTGGAGATGCTTTGATCCTTCTTTAAATGTATGCCAACCTTATTTTAATTAAAAAAAGTTATGTTGTAAATTGGGCTGGAAATCTCATGAGAAGGAGCATTCTTGTGATATTACTTAGATTGTAAGCTCCTGGGGGCAGTGGCCATCTTTGTTCTGTGTTTGTACAGCATCTAGGACAATCAGGTCTTAGTCTGACTGGGGCTTCTGGGTCTCACTACGGTACAGGCAGTGATAATAATAATCCGCTTCCTATCCTGGTCAAACCCAGGAAGTACAGTGAGATGTGAATAAGGTGGGGGAAACAGGTCGATTGAACTCTTTTGAACCCGGTGAAAGGCTGGTGTTTGTTTCAAGTCTTGGATGAAAATTCAGGCTGGGTCATATTTGATTTGAGTCAGTTTGTCTACCGCTAATCTGAATGTTTTGTTTACATTTCCCCCCTTTGCTTCCTTCTTTTGTTTTATTTCTGGCTCTTTCCTTTTTCTTACTTTCGGTGTCTGTGGAGCAAGAAAAATATATATACAGAATGAAATAGATTAAAAGAGGGAGAATTTGAAAGAGAGCAGTTTTTATTGTGATTCCGACCAGTGGTTCTCAACCAGGCGTCCAGGACCCTCTGGGGGGCCGTGAGCAGGTTTCAGGGGGTCCCTCAAGCAGGGCATTCGACTCACTGGGGCCCAGGGCGGAAAGCGGAAGCCCCAGGCAGTTGTCCTGCTTGCTACCCTCTAACGCTGGCCCTGGCTTTTATATGCAGAAACCAGTTGTTGTGGCACAGGTGGGCCGTGGAGTTTCTATAGCATGTTGGGACGGTCTCAGTAAGAAAAAGATTGAGACCCCCTAATTCTGACATAACTTGTTTTCTAGGACTCAGTCCTATATAACCATGTACAATGTCCCCTGATTTCTCCTCCCTTAGTTTTAGATTATGCTGCAGGATCGCATGCCGACTTCTTCTTTTGAGTGCAGTACTACTGTGTGAATGTGAATGGCCCAATTTTAGTCTAGGCTACTGACAAACTTTGATGTCATAGAAACATGTGGTTTCCTACTTCGTAATGTGGCAGTTCTCTCTTGCATGTTCGATCTTAAGAAGCCTTGCTTGGTTTGACTTTGGATGTAGTGAGTGGAACTATCAAAATAACTCTTGTCATCTTGAAAATAAGTCAGTGCTGTTACGTGTTGTCATCATGTATAATACACAGCAGTTAAAGGACCTTGACTTTCCTGATAGCTGGGAATGTTTCAGAACTTTGGTTCATGGACCCCTGCTTTTCTCTAATCTGTTCTTGAGGCACAGCATACCCCTGACTTGTGTTTTTTGTTTTCTTTTTAGGACAGATTTCTGCGTACACAAAGATGAACCCTGTGACACAGTGGGTAAGTCAGCACAATTAGGAGGAGTATGTTTTAAACGCCAGCTATGTATTGAGATGATCAGCTCTCTGGACGATTTCTTTGACTCTTGGGTTTGTTCTCGTGCTTCTGTTCTGAATGTGGCCATCATGCAAACATGGATCAATCTGCCTGGACTTAACACCTGATAGATAATGCACACCAAGTGTCCTATAGCTGCCCTTAATTGCCTACGTCAGTGGTTCTCAAACTAGGGCAGCGGCTTGTTCAGGGAAAGCCCCTGGCGGGCCGGGCTGGTTTGTTTACCTGCCACGTCCACAGGTTTGGCCGATCGCAGCTCCCACTGGCTGCGGTTCGCCACTCCAGGCCAATTGGGGCTGTGGGAAGTGGCGGCCAGTACGTCCCTCGAGGCCACTGGGAGCCGCGTTCGGCTGAACCTGCGGACGCGGCAGGTAAACAAACCGGCCTGGCCCGCCAGGGGCTTTCCCTGAACAAGCGGCGGCCCTAGTTTGAGAACCACTGGCCTACATAACATTCAGATCTAAATGGCAGTTTCATACCTGATGCCAGACTTTGGCAAAGTGGGTATTTTTTCTGCCCCTTTTCTCTGTCTAATCTTGATCTACTTATGGGACCCCTGCCATCACTGGAGTATCTCATTGCCTCTCAAGTATCAAAAAATAGAAACATCAGTAATGAGGTGTCTCTTCCTTCTTTCCCAGCCTGTAGAGGAAGTGTATGAGAGAGAGAAAAGAAGGACCTTACTGAAGCAAAGCCAAATTAGAGATCTTCTTTCCCACTTCTAACTTCCTATCTACATTGAAGTGTATCCCAGCCCTGATTTTCCAATGGTGCGTGCCACTACATCCCACACCTTACATACTCTGTTTTGCATAGGTGGACTGCATCTCCGGCCCTCCAGTTTTTCTTTTATCGCCACACTACCTGCTTTTGGAGGCATAACTCAATATACTATCCATGATTATCATATGATTGTTTACAGATTTGCTTCAAAATCAAACTGCCTTTGCCTCAGTTTCTTCATTCCAAGTGAATTCTAGCTTCGTCATCTGTTCCAGCAGGTCTCAGTTCAGTCTCTGGAAGTTGGGGAGAACACCGTACTTCGTGCTGATAGAGATAAATAGCTGGGGAGGGTTGGCTTGGGGGAAGATAACTGTAAACATCCTTCTGTAGGAGGTCTGAGACTGTTGTGAAAATTACATCTCAGTACACAGATTCTTCCCTACGTGTGGTGTGGAGAATAATCATAGGAGATGAGGGAAGTAAACATAATTGAAAAATATATACATTCTTCATTCAAATATTAACAAGATCTGTGCTGTATCTCCAGACTTTCCAGTGGGAATTCTTTACAATGTGCTTATTCTCTCCAAGCCCAATGGAAAACATCCTTCCACTAAGGAAGTGTTTAAGCTGTGTACCTGAGTCCGGATATGGCTCCGGCACAGTACATGGTGATCTCTGCGTAAAAATAAAGCTGATGGAAGACACATGCTACTGCTTAACAAATGCTTACTGTGTTCAAATCTCTTTCCTTGTTTAAAGACTGCATTAATGAGGATCCGTGTTCAGGAATTATCTTTCCACATGCAGTCTGGCTGAGGAAATATGATGATGACAATGTCTCTTTTCTGTTCTTGCAATAGCTATATAGTTTCTCTTTGGCCCGTTGGGATTCTTGTAGAGGTAGTGGAAGATAGGGTGGTAAATACCACATTTGTTTCCTATTCTTTCCAGTACAGCATTTCCCAACCTGTTGGAAATTGAGCACCCATTCAAGAAAATGAAACCAGTCCTGCTCCCTCCACGTAACCATCTTAATGTATTTATCTTCCGTGCCCCACTGGCTAGCTCTTCCTTCCTTCCCCAGCAGGGGATGTATCCTACACTTCGGGAAATGGTTGTGCAGATCTTTGTAATATGAAGCTTTCTCTCCTCTGTTACATGCCATGGTGAACATTGAAATCATTAAAAAGCGACAAAGAGTCCTGTGGCACCTTATAGACTAACAGACATATTGGACCATAAGCTTTCATGGGTAAATACTCACTTTGTTAGATGCATGATGAAGTGGGTATTTACCCATGAAAGCTTATGGTCCAATATGTCTGTTAGTCTATAAGGTGCCTGTAGTGAGGCGGCCTGGGCCCCGACGGCCCCTGAGGGAGAGGAGCCTGAATTGGCACCCAAGTGGGCGGAGCCACCGCCACCTGT